AAAAAAAAAAAAAAAACCCCAACTCATTCCTGCTTGGGGCAGAGGGAGCTGCTGCACCAACCGTGGTCTCACTGTGAGCAAAAGCCTCTGAACAAACCCAGCTGCAGGTCCCTATCTATTTTGGGGGGTTCAATTTAGGTCGGATTTTCAGAAAGAGAAGGCACTCGGTACCTCCAAAAGGAGTCAAGCACCTCTTTTGAGCTCGGGACCTTCCAACTCTCTCGCACATGGCTGTAATTTATTTTCCAGGGTCAAAAGTTTTCCCTCGTGCTCCAGCCCACCTTCCCCTGCTGACAAATCGCTCAGCCCAGCGCAGTGATTCCAACGGTATGATCAGATCTCCGCCAGTGCCCAGCACTTTGTTAACGTCTGGCTTCCCTTCCCCTGCCTTTACTCATATTACAGGCCATGTCCACATCACTCCTTTCCAACCTTGCTCCTTCTCCTGCTCCCGCAATGCTCATTTCTGAGGTCATGCTAGCCTTGATGGGGTTTGTTTATCACCAGTATTAAAAGGCTGCTTCTCGGCTTCGGGGTTGGTTGAAATCCCAGATTTTTTTTTCTTCTCTCTTTTTTGTGAAACAACAGAAACATATCCAGGATGTTGCTATCATCATAAAATCCTATTTTGGTTCAGCATCCCGCTGCTTTTGACAGGGGCTTTAACTGGTCAGTAGGGAACGGAGCCAAGGTTTGCTACAAACACAGCTGCTGGCTCGGTCAGCACCACAGCCCACTACAACGCGATACTCCTTTTTTAAAAGGACAATTGTTCTTTTTCTTCAACAGCTTACCCTCAGGCTAAAAGGGTTAATAAATAAGACACGCTTCAGTTAAGGAAAAAAAAAAAAAAAAAAAAGCACACATATGCAAACATACACGTAGCCTTGGGCTTTTCCAGAATCTGCTGGTGGCACCAGGCTATGGCAGCAGCTAGTTAATGGGCAATTCAATGGTTTCCACAGAAGAAAGGGTTAACGCAAAGAGCAGGGCAGGAAGGCTGGACTCACAGCAACAATAGCAAGCAGAGAAAGTGGGAAGAAAAAGCCCCCATTAAACACTGATGCTTATTTATGCATGCGTGCTGGAAGGGGTTAGTGTAGCATTACAATAGTTGTTGAACATTTCGGCAAGATTAGGGTCCCCTGGAATTGCAAAGCTTTACCAGCCCCAGCTCCCGAAATTTATAGCAAAAGCCTGACTCTGCAAACGGCTCGACATATGACAGTCCTTTGCCAGGGGAGCTCTCTGCCAACCCCGACTTCTCCTCCCTTCCCTTTTATGCTAGCTTCCAGCTGTTTCAGTTTTTCTTTTATTTACTGGCTTTATTTTTATTTGCGTATGCTCCAGCAGGAACTTGCTTTCAAAGGAGACGTGGAGGAAACAAGATCAGGAGGAAAAGGGAGCTAGGAAAATCATCCCAACTTCTCCACCACGACGACTGCAGCTCCCCTCAAAGCCTCCAGTGAAGCGATTTTCAATACAGAATGGAAGTGTCTTCCTGCTCCTTTTGGAAGATGTCCACCGTGCCTGTGACACGAACTCGTGCCTGTGACATGAACTCTGCCTGAAGCTCAAATCCCGCCCGTCTCTGGGGGAGCTTTCCTTCTTCTAAGGGGAAATTTTAAGGGACAATACAACGTTTTGCATCAGGAGGGGAGAAGAGACACTATTCCAGGCTCTGACCTTCAGTGAGATACTGTTCTGGATCCACAGGAGGAAGTCCCCTTGATAGCGATGACAATTTCACCTGACTGAGGACTCTCCATTCAAGACATTGGGGACTCCAACACTAACACGTTTGGAAGAGACCTGCTTCAGTGCTGTTGGGAAGATGGCCAAGTAGCTGTAACTACAGCAATACACTTCACCTGAGAAGCGGTTCTTTCATCTCAACAGTACAACACAAGGGTGTCCCTGTTCATTGTCAAGGTTGGTTATTGTGTTTTTCTTCTTCTTTCCTAAAGCTAAAATAGGAAACCACTTACAAAGACCTCTTCAGCTTTACATTTTAGTGGAACTTTTTTAAATGCCACCAAATACCAGAGGACGTAAGCAATGCCTACAATGAATAGCACAGAATCTAAACCACTTGGGTGGTGATGGAGATACGAGGTAAGGAGGTGAGGAGGAAAATGCCTATTCACACGTTCAACCAAGTCAGCACTCACTCACCACGAGCCATCCCGTCCTCAGGAAAAGAACCACTCCAAAAATGTTGATCATGCAGGAGGTGAAGACGCCATCCCATGTTCCAAAAAGCACCGGTTCCCACACAAACAGCTGGATCTTCCACCAGGGCCTGGTCTGCGTTTGAGATACCTAGAGAAAAGCAAAGCCTTTGGTTTTACCTCTCGTGCTTTACAGGCAGGCTGCAGAAGTGGTACAACAGCCAGCCACCAACAGTGGGATGGCCACCAACAGCTACTAAGACACCACTTTGCTGCAAGTTGTCTCTAAGAAGAAAGGGCAGCAGAGCTGTTGGGATCCCTGGGCCCGGGAAGAGAAGGTTCCCTGTAATACCCTATTTATATTCTTGTAGGATAAGCAGCAACAGAATCCTACTCAGCCTCAGCGCATTAACCCCATTGATGATGTTACATGAACCTAAAACAGCATTCAAGGGGTCCTTTCCAGAGCTTGCAACTATACAAGGTGCTTCTCCTTCTGTCCCTGCCAAGCACCCCACCAAGACAAGCAGGGTCCTCAGTGCACTGGAGAAGTCTCTTAGATGAGCTGACAAACCAGCTGGACCAACCGCGACTGGCAGAGTAGGTTAAGATGGTCTTCCCATCACACACAGTCATCTCTTATCAGGACACTACGTTTCTAGAGGGGACACGGGACTCTGGTACTTGGGGCACCAGTGAATTTCAGAGCTGCTGGAACCAAGACCTGAAACTCCAGCGAAACCGCAGTTTTCCTATTGCAACTGCTCCCTCCCGCCCTCTGGAAACCAAGTCCCCCCTTTCCCTTTCTAAATAATACACCTCAGGTTTATGTAGCAAAAAGAAGGGCAGTTTTGTTACTTCAGTCCTGTTTACCTGCCACAGAGGTGACCAGGGGGAGGTGCAGAGACCATGGAGATGGAAACTTGGGCTACGAAAGGAAATGGCTCTCTGACATACCTGCTGTGCTTCCTCGTGGAACAGCTCTTGGACACACCCCTCCCTTCTGGCACCATTCAGGCTGACCATCGTATCCTTCGCGTTGCCTCCGCCTGCCCAACGCGCAGCTCTAACGCTACAAGAGGTGAGGCCGATCCGAGCAGAAGGTCAGCTATTCTCCTCGGTCAAATTCCTGTGGTGCGGGATCCTCCGTTGGAGGAGATTCATGGTTTTGTTGCACTTTACTGTGAAAGCAGGAAAGGCAGAAGACATGACTGTTGCCGCCTTAGCCTGCAGAAACAGAAGGCTATTACCCAGACAGAGCCGACAGCAGCTCGTAGCAGATGCTGAACCACAGAGCGACACCACGGCAAGCAGAGAGCAATACTCCCCCAGCACCCTCCCAGGGCCTGCCAGCAGCACAGGCTCTATCATCAGCCCTACATTTAATGGCCCTTGGTGGCCTTTTCTGAATCTATCCACACCCCTGGCGTCCCCAGCATCCTGCCGCACTAGCTCCACAGCTTCCCTGTGTGCTGTCTGGGAAAAGTATTTCCTTTCACTCGTTTTAAATCTGGTGCCTGGTAATTTCATTGCATGCCCTCGTGCTCCGGTGACATGGGACACATGAACTATTTACTTCCCAGCACCACTAATTACTTCACAGCCTTGATCGCATGCCCTTCAGCTGTACCCTTTGCAAACTAGAGTCCTGCCGATGCAACCTCTCCCCTGACAAGCGACCTCGTCACCCTGCTCTCCCCATTTTCCGGTATGACGAAGAGATGGAACTGGAGCAGCTGAAGGTGTCCACCACCACAGACCCTCACCCTGCATTCCTGATGCGCTCAGCCACATCCCCTGCACCGATGTGCAGGAGCCCTTCTTCATGGTCGTACCCACCCTTGGAGGTACAGTCGTCTTGCCTGCAGTGGCCGGACTTCAAATTTGCACCTGCCACAGGCAGACTCTGGCAGTGGATCAACCTTAATTCAACACCAGGTATGTACCAAGAAAGCCGCATCAGGCTTTATTTCAAGGATAACTTAAGACATCCTTAAGGGGAAGGGGAAAGCTAGGACAAGCATTCCTCTGCCTCAAAATTGCTGGTTCCTCTCCTCCTTGGGCTGGTTTTCCTAAGATCATCTCCCTCTAATTGTGAAGAGCTGCTTTTACACACCTCCCTCCAGCTGGCTTCAAGTCTTAGCTTTCCCCAAATGGTCTTGTGATGACCATCAACCAACTGGTTGCCCACAGTCTCCCAGGCCAATTGCCAACAGAGCCATTCTGGCTGTTTCCCAGCACAGCTACACCATGCCCTGGTAAAGCAGAGGGCTGCAGCCAGAGGGGAGCAAGATGTGCTCCACGCCTGTGGAGAGGGCAGTTTGTCTGGATCATTGGCTCTCCTGGAGCCGACAGAGTTTCCTGGGCAGCTGAGCTCACATGCTTACAAGAACCAACCATGATCACACAAGGCTTGTACCAATGGCTGGACACCTTACCTGAGCCCACAGACCCAATTTACCAGGGCACAGTGTAGGAATCTCTGACTCCTCAAGCTTGAAAGCTATGGAGACAAGACAACCAACAGAAATGCGCTTTTCCTATTTCACAGGGACAGAGGCATACAGAAACCACTTTGGGTCACTCAGGATTTCACCATCATGGTCTGAATCCCAGCTCCCAGATCAGCACTTCCACCATCCTGCCTTTATTATTCTACTTTTAAATACCCTATAATAAATAACCAACGCTGCCACTGCCCCACCACGGTGTTTCAGCTGCAGAAGGTCTCCTGCAGCTGGGGTACAATGGCCAGCACGGGAGGTTTTTCTTCACCCTGTCCACATGGCCAGTTAAGCAGCACCAAAGCCGTAAGAGTTCATTGATCCCCCACTGCTCCCTCCCCTCTTTTTGAAGCAACTAACCCTTCACAGTATCACAAATGGCTGCAGTTATGGGGAGATTGGGGCTTCAAGCAGGGCAAAAGCAGCAGGAGCAGATGAACTCTAAAGAAACAAAGCTCATGTTTTTATGCAAATAGCCATAGTGATCAAAAAAAGGAAGAAAATACACAACATGAAACAAGACTACAATTGAATAGCCATGTTCGCCTAAGATTCCCCAACGCGGCCCTTCCTTGCCGGAGATTTCACTCAGTGAAGGATTCACTGCGGTCATCCAAACTCCTGTCTTTCACAGCAGTTCCAGCTGGATGCAGAAAGAACAGGGAGGCTGCAGCCCCCAGCTCTCCTAAACCACTCCAGCAAGGGAGCCCAGAAGGAGGTGGCCCCGACCCCTTGCAGCAGCCCAGGGTGGCTGAAGCTGCTCGTTCGGCGTGCCCTGGGCGTGACAGCACGGGCAGGATTATCAGTCTGAAACCTGCAAAATACAGAGAGAAGGGCTCCACACGCAGATTTCAGAGCAGGAGCTCACCTTGCAGGAAAAGTTGCCCTCCTAGACGTTTAAACCTCCTCATCTCACAATTTCCTTCCTTTTCCCTCAGCATTAAAACCCGCTCTCCTGCCCTGTGCTCCTGTGGCCTTTCTGCTTAGCCCCGCTCCCCTCGGTGTAAGAGCTTTCTTCTCCGCAATTGCAGGAAATTGCCTCTCCGCTATTGCTCTTCTGCGGCGCTTCCAACCACCCAACACCTTACTACTTAATCCTGCAGCTGTTTACATCCCTCTCCAACGTATGGATCCATTCAGCCCTACGAGGTGACCGAAGCAAACACAGGAGAGGGTGTAAAGCCCAGAAGCGAGAGCTGAACAAACATGCCAGGGCGGATGCTGCACGCGCAGCTGCATCCCGATCCACACGATGTACACGTATTTTTGCAATTTAGGGTCTGAAAGTGGAAAGTCCTTGGGGCAGGAGCCTTCCTCTCGTCCCATGCAGCACGCTACCAGCACAGCATGGTTTCTAAGTTACTGCACAGCACAGAAATGTTTTCGGGCGGTATTATCTATCTAGGTCACCAACCCAGCGGAAGCTTTTTCTGCTCTACAGGCTAGTCTGCCAAAAAAACCAAACAGGCACCGTTTTCCTCTAATATAAGCGAGCCTCTAACTTGAAAGTTAATTGATATTACTTTTCCTAAAATTTCTGCCAAAGACACTAACCAGTCTATAAATGAAAGACGAATGGCTGTTTTAATCTTTCCATACCATTTAGCGCTCAAGAGAGCAGAAGAGCATTTGCTAAACCTCCTCGCAGAAACATTACAAAAGCCCATCTCCTCTTCCTGCGACGCTTCGATATTTAATTACAAAACCAGATTCCTACAGATGAAATTTCCGTGCCCTCCGCATCCTTTCAAAGCAATAATATTTTATTAATCGTCACATTAAAGCCATTTCTGAGCTAAGCGTCGCTGCTCTGAGCTACTCAACAGCTGGCTGATTTTAAGGAGGAAAGGTTAACGCCTTCCCAAGCACAACTGCGTGTGGTCCCATGACCTCCGAAGCCTCCGTCCCTGCCAGAGGAGGTACTTCCAAGCCTCCCTCCCTCAAGGGACCCAGCAACCAACAGCACTTTAGTTTTAATAAATCCCCTCAAGTCGTCCCCAGGTCAAGTTCTTAAAACCACCTAATTTAGGGGACCCTGAGGAAGGCAGGAATTAAAGGGAAATAAAGCAGCCATCAGCGCAATGAAGGTATCGCCAGGCATAGGAGCGCTTGGTTATTCCCAGTTATTCCCGGTTATTCATTTACTGCAGTAGCCAGGCCAGTTACCCAGCTCTTTTTGTTTTTACATATCTCTGCAGCGTAACTAACGCCGTGGCACACGAGAGGTGGGAAACAAGCCCGGGCTCACCCCAGCAGCTTTAATTTCCCAGTGCGGTCAGACGGCTTCGGTGTTGCCGAGGCGGTGCCAACACCTCC